GGAGTTCAAAAATTGACTTTTTCAGTCTCTGGAAATGAGAAGACCAGACTCATGTACCAGTCCTTTTGCACTGCAACAGAAAGGGTTGCTTAATTCTTTACTATTCTCAGTTTGTAACAGTTACATACAGGAGTGCATTGCAACAGTTAACACTTTATTTATAAGAGCCAGTTACTTTCCAGTTCAGCTGAGAAATGCTTGCCTGAGGTTAATAACATCATATATATTAATCATATGCGTATATGTAGTAACGAACTTTTTTGCAGAGATTTTATAAGTATTAACTAACTAAAATTTGGTGGCAAGGAGTGTGAGGTTGCAAGAGAAGCTTTAGGGAAAAACTGAAACAGTTGTTAGTGGGAGAAAGATGAAATTTCCTATATCCCATTGTTTCTATATTATCCCTTCTAAAAGGGACATTGGATCTAATTCAGCCATTTTTAAATCTTAAATATAGTAAAACCTATTTGCTTTTAATATAGACACTTATAGTTACCTGAATCTAGTTTCCACGGAGACTTGATATGGTGATGGTGTTAAGGCATGTCTCCTAAATTAGGATCATAGACATGAAGAAATTTGAATCTTTTAGGTGGTATTCCATTTCATTAAAAAAAATTGCCATATAAAAAATTCCCAGCAGCCTTCTCAGAATGTATCACTAGTACAGATTTTCTTAAAAAAAATAGGGGCTCTTTTATTGTGTCACCCATAGCAGACAACTAAAGGGCAGGGGCGGTGAGTCCTATACTGCATAGCTTCTTGTTACTAATTAAATGCAATATGATAGCTATACAAAAGACTTTATTTCTTACATGTAGGTAGCATTCAAATCTTACATCTTCTGAACTAATGTTGATGGAATGAGGGCAAATTATAAGAACAGGCTATGTGGTTGTGTGAATGCCACCATTTCTTTTTAACAAAATACTCAAGGACTGTGACATTATATGTTTAAGGACTGAACATCATTATCCCTGTAGTAAGAGAACTGTTTTGATCAACATTAATACTAGATATTGATGTCAATATTAGATTTATGTATTCTCCAGTAGCTGTTCCTCAAACTGATCTATTCTTCTAACTAATTCCTCAAATGTATCTTATATAATACATTTCTCAAATTCATCTAAATAAAGAGAAGCAGACTTAGTTGTGTTGAAAAGGACAGAAGCTGAGTAAAAAGATTAGAGCCGACAAGCAGTGAGATAGATTAACAAAGAGGAAGGAGCACAGAATTCTAATTCCTGGGGGACCCAGAATATAGAAGAGTCTGTTGTTACTTGAGGACCAGGAATTTACACTGTAAATAAGGTATTCATTGAACAATTCCACCAGGTATGAAAGAACATGAAGGGCTGCACCTCTGGGTATTCACTTTTTCCAAGCTTTCCTGTAAATCTGCCACATTTTAACATGATTTCTGAGATATATGCTCCTAGGGTGAAGTTACTGTTACTGGAAGAATTCAGTGCTGCTGCTAGCACCATTCCCATTTCATTCTAGACAGCTGCTTTATTTCTTTAAAAAAGCAGAAATTATTTCTATGCTATTAGGGGCTTGGCTGGTTTTTGAATAGCTAGAATAATTAGCTCTCTGAAGATGGCTTATTAAACCGACTGTGGATGCTGAAGTATAGAAATATCAAGTAGGAATCTTGTCAGATTTATTTTAGTAATTCACACCAAAATACTAGCAAGAATGATTTTAAACCCCCCTATCCAGGTGAGAATATGATTTACTTATCCATCCATCCATCCATCCATCCATCCATCCATCTCAAATATTTTGAGCTGAAGCTTCCCTAAAAGGGCACACAAAGTAAAACATTAAAATAACAGATTTTTACTGCAGGAACAGTAAAAATCAGGCATACATTCAGTTAAAAACAACAGGGAGGAGAGGCAGGTCTTTTAAGAGCTATTTGAAAAAGCCAAGGAGGGAGCCACACTTATTTCATTGGATAGGACATAAAGGAGATATCACTACAGAAAGGCACCCAGTTTCATCCCCAGCAGTATAATGGAGGTTACTACTGAGCATGTGGGCTGTACTGGAGTAGTTTTATGTGAATCCCATGGGGATGTAAATATTTCATTTTCATAAATATGGATACATTTTTTTCAAATGTTTTCTCTGTATTGGGTGAGATAGTAAAAGGTTTTGTGCATTTTTATTTTATTTTATTGACTGACGAGAATGATGACAATGATGATGTATTTGACACTTTTATGTTTCTTCTGCATTATGTTATGTTGGTCAGGCAGGTTTCCACACTAGCAAGCACAAAAAAATCCACATGTATTTTGTGCAGAAAGCCATTTTTTCTCCTGAAAAATGCAACTTTTTAAATGTGAAATGCGTTTGTTTGCCCCAAGTACATAGATGTTTGGATGGTGGCAAGATGGAGACTGTATCCACTGCTGTTTCTGCTTCTGGTGGTGGTGGTGGTGGAAGAAAGTGCTGGTCTTGGTACTCTCATGTTGGAATAGCTGATTTTTTTCCATAGGGTTTCTTTATATGTGGAAACACAGTTTTCTATCAAGGACAGGAAAATATGCAAGTATTCATTACATCCTTACTTATCCTGTAGAAAAGTAATTTAGGTTTTTAAAGATTTACGGGCACAGGTTTAGGATACTACTGTATTGGTCTGCTATAATTTCCTGTAATATAGCTTTATCTCTGATACTTTCAGGGTTTTTTTAAAAAAGATTATTTACAAATGGTGGTAGAATCCACATTTCCCCCTGAAAAAAATGTGCATAGTGGAAACCTGCATGACCAACATAACATAATTTTTTAAAAAACTTAACTTAAATATTAAATGTTAAAGAGTTGTAGTATCATGTCATTGCAAGGGGAAGGAGGCTGGAATTAAAATCAGAAGTATTTCATCTTAATTATTGTTCCCGTTGACTTATCTTCTGCTGGTTGCCCTGCCCTACCTGTTGTGGTGCCACCAGGAAGTACTGGACAGGGATTTACATTAGAAGATACTGAAGATTTTCCAATATATTGAATTCTTGTGTGCCAGCTGGTACAGTTCTTACTTATATTGTACCATTCAAACTTGTTGCTGTCATTTAACAAATACAAAAACAAACAAAAACCATTGTCACTTTAGAAATATAAAGGTATAGATGTTAACTGTAATACTAAGTAAGTCCTATGAAGGGGACTTGGAAAATGAATTTTCCAAGCTTTCAACAGAGGAGACAATGGCTTTGTTTTAAGGTATAGAACAAGCAAATGGCAGGGACAGGAATGCAGGACTTGAATGGTGTGCGATTAGCTGTTTTAATAACCAGATAGGAGAGTTCTGAAGGCAGAGCACTGTCACCACTCCTGGAACTCCATGTTAAAATTGGTCTGTCCATGTTCTCTCTGATGGTCAAACTAGAAATAAGATATTAAATCTGTAATCAGGATCTTTGATGTTAGTGTTGAAGTTAGTTCAAATCCAAATAGGCAACTGTGATTCTAAAACATGCAAAAATTGATATATAGCATAGACACATGTGTTTAATCTTTGTATGTTTTAGAATCAGAGTTGCCTATTTGGATTTGAACTAACTTCAACACTAACATCAAAGATCCTGATTACAGATTTCATGTAAATTATGCTATATCTAGCATGTAAATTATGCTATATCTAGAAAGTTGGATGTGGCTAAATGGGGTTAGGTAAAGGTAAAGGTTCCCCTTGATATTTAGTCCAGTCATGTCTGACTCTAGGGTGCGGTACTCATCCCTGTCTCCAAGCTGTAGAGCCAGCGTTTGTCCATAGACAGTTTCCGTGGTCACGTGGCCAGCGCGACTAGACACGGAACGCCATTACCTTCCCACCGAGGTGGTGCCTATTTATCTACTCGCATTTTTACATGCTTTTGAACTGCTAGATTGGCAGGAAAATGGGGTTAACATATATGCAAATACTATTATTATTGTTGTTGCTGCTGCTGTTTTCAGTGTGGTGTAGTGGATAGAGTGAGAACAGGGTTTGAATCCCCACTCAGCCATGGAGACTGACTAGGGGGTGGAACTGGTAAAAGCACTCCTTAAATATCTCACTTACCTTTAAAACCCTGTTAGGGTCACTATAAATTGATTCCAACTTGACCGCACAGAACAACAACAACAAATCTATAATTGCTATACAGTGATATAACTTGACAGCACAGAACAACAACAACATTCAGTAAATCTATAATTGCTATACAGTGATAGTAGAATGTGTGTGTCTGTGTTTGTGTGGTATAAAATATTATGAAGACAAAGACAAAGGTCAAATGCAGCACGCTGCACATACGAGATGGCAGAAATGGTCTGCATAGAGTAGTAGCAGTGTTAGGGCAAAGTATATACTGTATTAGCACAATAGGTGTTCAAGTAGTGTTATGTTTCTCATACGGTCTCATGGTGTCACTTCAAATAACTCTTGTAACTCATGGCAGCTGTAAACTTGAGTTTTGCAACCATACAAGCGTGTATCTCTTTCTTCTAGAATTGGTTTCCAGCTAACTCATCCAGGAGACAGCACTGGTTGGTTTAGCACAGCATATTCATCTACTGTATTTACCACATGCCTGTGTTAGATACAAGTTTTTATAGAATGTCTGTTCCTTACAACATATATACATTTACAAGCTTTTGTTCTGAAGCTCGAACCAGCCACAGTAGTGGTAGAACTGCAATCCTAGGAAAGGAGACCAAGGATTAAATCTTTCTCCTCTACATATATTTCTTTTCCTGTATTCCACCACCCCAACCCTAAAATCAGGATAAACTTAAAACAAGGAAAGTGGAAAAGACATAAAAGTTAATTCTCAGCTTTGGTCTGCTTTGGATTCTCTGTAACTACTTTGTATTTTGAGATAGAAGAGGTTAGTCATAGATCTCCAGAATCACATTTACATGGTTCCATGCTATGTTTCTTGACATTATAATTCATTTGTTTAAAACTCAAGTTTAACGTGCTTCCTTTATTTTCCTTGCAGATTTTCAGAAGATGTTGGCTTGTGTTCAAGAAAGCTTCTAGTAAAGGACCCAGAAGGCTAGAAAAATTTCCAGATGAGAAGGCAGCATATTTCAGAAATTTTCACAAGGTAGGTAGTATTATCTAGTAGATGCTGATTGTTAGCAACCAGATAGAAAATTGATTAATAGGATATTATTGTTTTATTTATTTCTGAGACCCTGAAGTTGGAAACAGTGCTTGTCTGTATCTTAGAGTTAGGTGAAGTCTGAATTTTCAAATGAAAATGCTGATTTCTTTATTTTGCTTTGTTTTACTTTCTCGTTTTCTGAGAATGCATGAATGTTATGTGCTGAAGAAGTACAGAACAGGATGACTCTTGTAGTCCTTTCCAGTTACCTAGAATTCAATATGAAGCCTAAATATAAGATGTCAAAAAATAACCAGAGTGATTAAATACCTAATGGCACTTTCTTTCAAAAGATTGATATAACTATTGTAATGCTTGTTGAAACTGCAGAGATTTTGAAGACTGTAGAAGTCAGTGTCATAATTTTGACTTGAATGCTTACTGTTCTGACTTCAGTTGTTCAGTACATGATTATATGTTATATCAATGGAACTTTTCCTTCCACTTGTACATCAACACAGCACCTGTAATTGAGTCAACCTTTTATGTAGCAATCTTGAGATTGTGTTCATTGATAGCTGTTTACTGCTATGAAAAAAAGACTTAGTTCTTCCGGTGCTTATTTCTACTGTGCTACAGCAAAGTAATTTGGTGCCTAAGATCCATGATACACAGAACAGCATAATTACCCAGTACAGCTTTTGCTGGACTTGAACACTTCAGATAATGGGTGGAGGTTTTGTATATGATTAAGTTCCATATAAAGAACTATAATTATAATCATACTTTTTCAAAGCTCTTTTCTCTACCTCCTACCCACCCCTTTCTTTCTCTACTGGAACATTCAAACACATTCTTACTGCCTATAGTTAGTAGTTACACCATTCAACAAGAACAGCTCTAACTGTTTCTTCTGCTCATTGGTTTTAGAATGTGAGGAAGAAATGCATCATGAGCATTATCTATGTTTTTATAGTGCCCTCAGCCTCTTGCAAGAAGGCAGGGTAGATAGCAAACATTAAACTCCTTAATAATGGAATTATATCATAGTACTTAAAAGAAGACTTAAGGAGAGTAAGCCTTAATCCACATTCATGACCATTTCTATGTTGTTTTTTTCAATAAGGAGAATTGATATCTAGGAGTGGTTGGTTATATTTTGAATAGATTACTTACACACACACACACACACACAGAGAGAGAGAGAGAGAGAGAGAGAGAGAGAGAGAGAGAGAGAGATTCTCTTAAAGTGTTGGGATTCTCTTTTTAAAAGTCATAACTTTTTCCCTTTAAGAACATGTTATATGAAACTAAAGTTTCATTGATGTCATTTGTATAAATTATATCGCTAAACTCTAGTGATGTCATCAACCATGTCATCATCTTGGGGGGGATGGGAAGTGTTTAATTCCCCTGAAAAGGCTGTACCTGATGATATCACCACATTCCATGGCACAATATAGCAGCAAAATACTAGTCGTTAATTCATTAGGTCTGTATTAGTTTAGAGTAAATTTGACTCTAAGCCATGGCATTCAGTGAAGTGTCTTTCACATCCTTCTGTGGGTTTTTTGTTTTGGAGTGCGTGCGTGTGTGTGTGTGTGTGTGTGTACACAGTATTTTAATTTTAGGGAAGCTGGAATCAGCTTTAAGGATTCACGGTTAAATCAGCATAGTAATATAATCTGTCAATGTAGGTTACAATGCTCCTTCATTTGACTCATCTCCCTCCATGTGTGTGAAGGCAATGAAGGTGGGGATGCTGTTGCTACAAGATATTCTTGTATTAAATTGATAGATACTGTCAAGTAAATATTATAGGAGAAACAATGTTATGAAACAGTATCATGAAGCAATTTGCTGATTACTCATGGGGAAAATATATTCTGATGCTTCAGACAAAAAAGGCACAAATCAATATAAAATTTTGGTATGGAATTATTTAATTTATGTAGCAAATAGTTTAATTAACAAGGCTTACTTTCCAACACCTATCATCAGTTTCCAAACTGAGGAACTCTGCATGTAGACTGCTGAGGATGGTTTACACTGGGCTTGACTGATACCCTACTTTTACATTAAAATGTTGCTTATTGAAGTTTTGTATCCTGGGACCTTTTGAGGCATGTGTATGCATGAACTTCCCTTCCATCTGAGCTCCCTATAATTTTCAGGAATTTGAAAACACAGTTTCCTTCAAGTACATTGTGTATGTTAGTGTGTCCGTCTCACACATACATGAGTGAGTTATTTAGGAAATTGTAAAAGGCATCCTTTATTACCTTTGTGTTATTGTTTCAACCTCAAGCATCACAATAACAACCTGCACACATCCTTTTGGGTGTGTAAGTCTTGGGGGAACCTCAAGTCAAAGGACTAAAAAAACCACTGCTCTTGAAAATAAAATATCTGCGTATAAAGCTGCGTTACATGGAAAGGATAATCAGGGAAACAAGGAAAGCTTTGTGTTAAATTGTATAGCAACAGAACTATGAAAATGGGCTTCACAAATTTTAGGAAGATTGTGATTCTAAAGATAAAAAAACATGAGAAAACAGTAATGACCTAGACTGAAAGAGCAGCAGCAGCAATGCAATTATTTTGTACATTCAAGGGCAATCTTTAATCTCTCTAGATTGAGAACAAAGACCAGAGTCCAGCTGAACTGGATGCAGGACTTCCTCTTCGCTGATGATGCAGCTGTTGTTGCCCACTCTGCTGTAGAGCTCCAACAACTTATCTATCATTTTAGTAAAGCATGCCAAGATTTTGGACTAAAATCAGCCTGAAGAAAACGCAAATCATGGGCCAGGGCATGGACTCATCTCCCTCTATTACCATCTCTACACAAGAATTGGAGATTGTTCATGATTTCATGTACCTTGGCTCAATGATCTCTGACACACACACTCTAGATGTTGAGCTAGATAAATGCATTGGCAAAGCAGCTACCATGTTCTCTAGACTCACAAAGAGAGGATGGCTTAATAAGAAGCTGATAGCATATACCAAGATCCAGGTCTATAAAGCCGGTGTCCTGAGCACACTCCTGTCCTGCAGTGAGTCCTGGACCCTTTGTGCACGGCAGGAGAGGAAGCTAAATATGTGTTGTCTCCAACACATTTTTATTATCACCTGGCAGGACAAAGTTCCAAATAGAGTAGTCCTAGAACGAGCTGGAATTTTTAGCATGTATACATTACTGAGTGGTATGAGGTGGCGCTGCAGGTTAAACTGCAGAAGCTTCTGTGCTGCATGGTCAGAAGACCAGCAGTCGTAAGATCAAATCCATGTGATGGAATGAGCTCCCATTGCTTGTTCCAGCTCCTGCCAATCTAGCAGTTTGAAAGCATGTAAAAATGCAAGTAGATAAATAGGTACCACCATGGTGGGAAGATAATGGCGTTCTGTGTCTAGTCGCACCGGCCATGTAACCACAGAAACTGTCTACAGGCAAACACTGACTCTACAGCTTGGAAACAGGGATGAGCACTGTGCCCTAGAATCGGACATGAGTGGACTAAATATCAAGGGGAACCTTTACCTTTACCTATACATTACTGAAACAGCAATGTCTACATTGGTTTGGGCATGTCGTGAGAATAGCTGATGGTCGGATTCCAAAAGATCTCCTGTATGGAGAATTAGTGCAGAGAACGTGCCCCAGAGGGAGACCGCAGCTGCAATACAAGGATATCTGCAAGCAGCATCTGAAGGCCTTAAGAATGGACCTCAACAGATGGGAAACCTTGACATCTGGAGGCAGGCGGTGCATCATGGCCTCTCCCAATTTGAAGAGATCCTTCTTCAGCAGGCCGAGGCAAAGAGGCAGTCCCGAAACCGGCAAAGTCAGGGAGCTGGACAGGGGGGCATATTGTATTTGTCTCCAGTGTGGAGGAGATTGTTACTCTCAAATTAGCCTTCTCAGCCACACTAGACACTGTTCCAAGACCTCTGCTCAGAGCACGTTACCGTAACCTCTCGAAACTGAAGGATGCCTACAGGGAGACAAGGGCAATTTGGACCTTGCTTCTGTTGGAATAAGATACATACATTAGACTTCATGATATCCAGTGAATGTTATAGGAATCTGTAAAAGTATGCTCCATTTGAAAAGGAAAACTTAAACTTTCCACCAGACAGGAATGATCTGCATACATTAACTCTTCGGGTCCTAGTATGGTTTCATTGTGTTAGTGCCAAATGAAACACAGTCAAATGTGCCATCCCCTTAATGGGCTTTTTCAAGCTTGTTGAAGCATCTTACGTACTGACTAAAAGAAAGGTATTGTAGGATAAATAAAAATCTGTTATGACAACTGCTCTCAAATTTGTTCATTTTTAAAAAGTTCTTTGCAGAGACAGATTTAAAATTCAAATCATTTGCAGATGGGAGAAGTTATTAAAAATGCATTAGGGTTGAAAATGGATCTGGAAACATTCATAACATGTTCAAAACAAATTTATCCCTTGTGACAATTAAGCTAAAAGATTTTTCACATCATCAACCAATAAATATCATTTAATTCAAAAGTAGGTGAAAGATGAAACAATTGAAATGACTTTTATTAGAGCAGACTATTAATGGCAATTAAAGTCAGAGTTTCTTCAAACAGATTCAAGTTTAAACTCATCAGACATTACTATTAACTCTTTTAACTGCAATTTCAAGATACCACATTTCATTTTAATCTTCTGCTAGAAAGTCTTAAGGTGTTTTGCTTTTGTTTATAAGCATGTATTGCGGGGAGAGAAATAGAGATCTACAAGGAACTATACCATGAATGAGAGATGGACTTGGATTTGATCGACAATCACACAAATGTACAGTGCATGTAAACAGAAGACATACTTCTATGGGTCCTTTTTGTTGTTGTTTAGTCATTAAGTCATGTCCGACTCTTCGTGACCCCATGGACCAGAGCACGCCAGGCCCTCCTGTCTTCCACTGCCTCACAGAGTTTGGTCAAATCTATGGGTCCTATCATGTGCAAAATTAA